ACCTTTTGAATTCCAAGGTGCCACGAGTTTTGTGCTATTTAACCTTTCTAGACTTATTTCTTGGCTTGTGCTAGTGAAGAGGTATCTTTCTCTTAAATTGTGTGATTCCAGAGTGCTATGTGCAAGTCCAACAAGAAATTAATGCAGTTGCTCTTCAATATGTCTGTTTGGGTTATTTTATGAAACTTAGAGGATCTCAGTCAGCTTCTATCTTTGTTTTTAAACTCGCTTGGAAATGACTAGTGAGTTCAAAAGTTAAGATGAATGTGTCCACAGCATATGTAAGCCTAATTTCCATGGTAGACCCAGTATTGACAATACTGTGGATTATCCTTGGGGGGGGGGGGGAAGGATGTTTTCTGTGGGGCTGCTTATTCTGGAGAGGGGGATCTCTGACCATACTTATTTGTAGTTCTTTGGCAAATGACGTCAAATTGAATTCTCATCTGGAGAGGGAAAACTCTGGACTCTGTAATGTGTGTGTTTTCTTTTGGATGGAAGCTGAAAGTTGTGTGTATCTTTCAGTGATTCTTTCAGTTTCCATAGCGGGTAAGGATTTAAGAAAGCCTAAATAATGCTGTTAATGTCTCAGAAGGCTTGTTTTCCTGATTTTATTTTTTTTCTAACCATGTGCCTCTCCTAATATTTCATAAAACAGCTATTTTTGCCTATATTAAAAGCTGTTACTGTTGCTGTGTTTAGCTCACAAATTTGTAATGCACATTACATATTTAATTACTTGAGGGGGAAAATGTGAAGTATGTATTGCTTCTACCAGAGTCTCGGTTATCAAAAGGCAGTGTCTCTGTAGTGAAGAATACACCCCACGTGTCATTCACAATAGAACATGTTATTGCTTAGAATGGCAGCTAAAATGAGGACTGGAAAGCAGATTTTTATTCACTTTGGGGTTTGGTAAAAACTACTTTTCCCTGTTGCTTCCATTTCCTGTCTACAATGGAAATGACTCCTCCATGCATCTGTGTGGTGAGAGAGGTCGGTTGGTTGCGGTGGTCATATAGGTTAATGAATACCTAAATACTATTATCTAAATCGTTTACCAAAACCTGTGGCAGGCTCATCCCCTTTCTGACTCTTCAAATTATTTTAGATGTTGTCAGTACAATCTGACACCCATCAGGGCTTTTCATATCTCTGAATAACTTGGGGTTTAGGGTAATTTGCCCTTCAGAGGATTCATCTAGTGACTGCTCAGAATGAAAATTTCTACCAACAGATCTCCAGTATTACCTTTGTGTCCAAGGACACAGTATTTCTGCTGAACTCAGGACCTCTGTTCTGGAGCCAAATATTTTGACCTAAAATGGGATTGATGGGAAAGAGGGAAGTAGAGGAATTAATTATTTTCCCCCTCCTTAGTATACTGTCCCAAGCATGAAAATCCTATTTAGCCTTATATTGGAGCCAATACTTTTATACAGTAATTATGGGCTTATCTGCCTGAAATTTAGAGCACTTCTCTTTAGACTGCATGTATTAATTACTAGGGTAGTTTCTGTCCTATAGAATCAAAGGCTGAGTTTCCCCACTTGGCATCTCGGGTGTTGTTCTGTCCTTTGGCAGAAAGGTGTATACCATACAACCATGAGCATGTTCTGTTGATTCTTGGCATGATTTGCTTTACTGCTTGTCCTCACTGATTTTAAATTTTTTTCTTATCCTTTCTTTTTTCTAGCCCTTCTAGGGTCTCCAGCTGGTGGAATCCAAAATTCCATCGGTTCTGTTGGCACGGGCCAGCAGAATACTCCATCGCTAAGTAATCCTAATCCGATTGACCCCAGCTCCATGCAACGAGCCTACGCTGCTCTTGGACTGCCATATGGCAACCAGCCTCAAACACAGCTGCAGCCCCAGGTACAAGGCCAACAGCCGGCACAGCCTCAGGCTCACCAGCAGATGAGGACCATTAATGCATTGGGTAGGTGGAAAAAATACCAAGAAACTAAGGCGTTAAAATAAACTGAACTGTTGATTTTTTAGGATAATCTAGTGTTTCACTTGATCAGAGTAGTGACTTTCTGCTCATGTTGATTAATAACTTGAAATTTTACTAGTCATAAACACTACCATTCCTTTACATTTGAATATTAGAAAGCTTTGAATATATTGTTTCTGCCAAATAGCAGTAGTTTTAGTTTCTTTTGAAATAATAGTCCATAGCTTATTGCTGTCTAAAGTGATTAGACAGAATTGCTGAAGGACTTTGGTTTGTTTAACAAGTATTTCACCTGTTGTAGCAGATGATTCTGTCTCAAATGCTGATTTCTTTCTGGAACTTAGTTGTAGTATTACCTTCTTTTTAGCTTATTGAACTAGCCTTAAGAGTTTATGAATTTTAATAGACTGGCTTTTGTAGAAAAAATTTTCAGACTGAAAGTAATTTTTTATTCCATAAGTAGCTACGTGTATGCACCACAGCAGATATTATCATAAAAGTACTTATCTGATACACTGTCTCTTTCGTTAGCCAGTTGGTCAGTAAAGTGTAGTTTTGCCATGTTACTGTCAAAATTGTCAACTGGGTGCCAATGTTGTTTAATTTTGTCCCAAAGGAGCCAACCAGATGAACCTTCCCACAGGAGGAATAACAACAGACCAGCAAGCTAGTCTAATTTCTGAAACTGCTCTTCCAACATCCCTTGGGACAAATAAGTAATGCACGCATTTTTATTCTTGCTCAATTAAACATATTTTTACATGCTTATGAATGTAAATAAAGAGCATGCTTTAAAACTAATTGTATTGTCATGGAAATGATCAATCGTGTCTATGGCTTCGCTTTTCTTTCCTATTTCAATTCTATATCTACCACTTTGTCCCCCCAGAGAGCCCTAGAATATTTAGTATAAATGAATTCCCAAAGGAAGAATATTTTACATTTTTAAGTTGTGATTCTTTATCATTCAAACCATGTCTTGCAAACTCCTGAGCTTTGCTGCTGTATGTGTTGCAGTTTGCCGATACCAAAATTTCGCTTAAAGAACGTTTGATGCAGTAGCTAGAAGTGATGAAAGGAATTACTTAAAAATTACTTCAGGCATCAAACATACAACAGTACTGTGCGTGCTGTACTGTAACAGTCCCTTTTTATTTTAGCCCACTAATGAATGATGGCACAAATTCTGGCAATGTTGGAAACCTCAGCTCAATGCCAACGGCTGCACCTCCTTCTAGTACCGGGGTAAGGAAAGCATGGCATGAACATGTCACTCAGGACCTGCGCAATCATTTAGTGCATAAACTGTAAGTATTCACCAAGACCACGTATTTTTCCTGAATGTTTTTTAAGAATTTCACTACTGTAGTTCTACTCTTAAGCTGAAAAGTTGTTGATGAGAAAGGTACCAGTGGTGGTTCTCTGCCACTGGGCCCCTGAGGATGACCTGTTGCCTTTAACCCTCCTCTTCAGTTCATTCATTGTGCTCATTAAGGAATAAGCATTAAATTAGTTCATATTGCTAGTAAATGCACTCTGCTATAGTAAACAAGTATTTACATTCTATAGACAGTTAAACCTCACATTTTTTCATCACTGAATTTGTTTAATCCTGTGGGGAATAGTGCAGTATAGATTCCTTTTTTAACAATTTTGATACGCTTTTACATCTCTGACGTGTGAAGGAATGTCCAGGTTGAATATTATAAAGCTGTATTGAATTTTTTTTTCTCTTAAGAATTTTTCTTTTATTCTTTCTCCTTTCTTGTAGTGTCCAAGCCATCTTCCCCACTCCTGATCCGGCAGCACTGAAGGATCGCCGCATGGAGAACTTGGTGGCTTATGCCAGGAAAGTGGAAGGAGATATGTATGAATCTGCTAACAGTAGGGTATGTTGCTTCAGTCCAGGTAGTCAGTACATGTTCAAGAACAGTAGTATCACAAATCTTATAAGCATAATGAAAACCACAGAGAATCATTTCACTGTTCTCTTGAAGAGGGAAGTCGTGCTTTCTGTCTATGGCAGTGTTTGTGTAGTCTCAAGCCATCTGATTAATGTCACTCCAAGCTAATTCACCTCCCTCAGCTCCATGAAAACTAGACAACATTGTCCCAGCTCTATTTACATTCCTCCTGAAACTGTGATTGACGTGCATGAAGATTGGAGCACAGCTTGCAGTTCTTGATCTTTCCCTTGCCGACTTTTTCCTATCTGGAAATCAGCGTAAATAGTATTTTAAAAACTTTTCTTAGTGCCTCTTCACCGTTGGAGGTTTTCTCTAGGATACAGTCCTGTTATATTGCTTACCTTTTACCCGCACTGTTGAAATTATTTCTCCTCTACTCAGCACCACCGAGAGTGATTTGACTAAGAGACATAGCTGTTCCACATATCAATATAGGAAGAAGTCAGTTTGCCTGCGTTTGTCCTTGTGCATGGGAAACAAGACAGAATTCCTGTTCTTGCTCGTGATTTTTGCTCTGTCTGCAAAGAGGTGTCAGTTTGAATCTCTATTACTCAGAGGGAGCAAATCCCTGTTGATTGACATGCTGAGGATAGTATTTCATTATGGCCCTGTGGTAATTCTACCCTAAAGGGACCACTCCCTGAAAGTTTTCATCAGGTAAAGACAAGTAATAATAGCTAATGAGATCTTACCTGATCAGAATCTTGAGGTCCTTTCCTAAATAAGGTAAGAGTATCTAAAGAGAGTAGTTAGTGGCATTTCAGGTGATAATCATCCAGTAAGACAGTAACACTTAGTCTGCCCCTCTGAGACGATCTCCCAGAAGAGCTGAAGATGGAATGCAAGTTTTAATTCCTAGAGGTAGATAGGCAGTGGCCATACTTGTAATCCTACTACTGTGTCAGCATTGGTCAGTGGCAATATCGTATTCTCCTTGTGGCTACCAAGAGGTTGTTTAGCAAGGAAGACTTGTGTGTGATCACCCTTGATCACCCTGGCAGCTTTAGAAAACAACTTTAGAGAGAACGAGGATTTTGTAGACATGCATAAGCATCTAAATACCTCCTCAGTAAGGATGAGTGTAGTAGACTTCGGGTTAGAAAATTAAATGTCTTCTGACCTCTATGCCAGACTAATACCCAGAAGTATCTTCTCTTCACCTCTTAAAACAGCTGTCAGAGCCTTGTTGCCAGAAGTCTCTTTTATGAGAATTCATCTAACGTATTTGGCTCCAAGCAGCAAACTTGGAAGAAGGGAGTAGTTTAGAATGTATTAACGATGCCGTGTGGAATTGCATCCTTTTTTTTGAGGAGCATCCGTTCTACTTTGACATTGAAAAACAGATTAAATTGAGGCATCATTGTAAGCAGTTTGACATTGGTTTAGTAGTATGTGCTGCTTGTGAACATGTCCTTTCTCAGGAATCTTTGCAGTGTGAAAGTAGCACAAGATTAAATTTACAAATCGGAAGTGAAAGGAGAAGTGTCTTGAGCAGGAAGAGGGAAGGGGCTGTAGTGCTTTTAAATTGGACAGCAGAAAGGGTCTGCACTGATGGAATTTTGAGACATTTGGAGGAGGGAAGTGACCTAAAACCAAAGCTTTATATTGATTGCAACACTGGACTTTCTTAAAAAGGCTGGTGAGGAATACCTATCTCACTCGTTTTCTGAAATGAACTCACTCCTACTGCGATAACAAATTCTAGTGTTGATAAAAATTGGATGAAATTAAAATGATTGTGGGACAAGCATCACTCAACCTTTGCTCCATGTAACACTGGGTTTTAAGAGCACAGGTGGCCCCACGAAAGAAATGTAGTCTTCAGGGTCTGTGGGGATGTTTTGCCTTTAACAAGTGTGTAATCTCATGCACTTGGCAGGTGCGTGTCCAGCAATTGCTGACAGGCAGAATTGTCTACCTTGCTGTGCACTGTGACTGGCTTATTTGATCTGTTGTCAATGTAGATTGAGTAAAATGGATTTTTCATCTCGTACAGATGTCGTGTTTAGTTGCCTGTGCCTGTGGACTATTCTTCACCGATTTCTTGCATTCCTTTGGGGTTTTGTCTGGTTTTGCTTATTCCTTGCAACGACTGTCGGTAGTTAGACTCTTTAGGAGAAGAACGGTTCCTTTCTTTATGTAAAAATTGATCTGTCCTTAACATCTGTCTCCTGAAGTTTATTTAGTGTAACTGTGTTGCTGGGAATGTTTGTTTGGTTTTGGGGTTTTTTTTGTCTGTGAATGAGTGGAAATGTTTATTATGAAAATAACATTTAAAAATCATTAACACCTAGAAACTAAATCACAGCTTCCTGGCTTTGTCAAAGCAACAGAGAACCTGCAGTCTTCTCCTTTGTCTGCTAATCTACTCAGAGTAGATGTGAAGGATAGCCATAAAGCCAAGCCTCATACGTGTTTTTTGGAAGCTTTGTTTTTCCTTTTCTGCGTTAAAGCAGTGATGAGACTGTCTCAATTTAACAGAATTCCGAAAAGCAGTATTTCTTTTTCAAATAGGCAGGTGTATACCTTAAAAAAACAAACCAAACAAACAGGTGACAGTGTTCTGGTAGACAACATGACTTCTGCTGCTGCTTTCTTACACTTGACGCTGAGTACTTTTTTCTCTTTTAGGATGAATACTATCATTTATTAGCAGAGAAAATCTATAAGATACAAAAGGAGCTAGAAGAGAAACGGAGGTCTCGTCTACATAAACAAGGGATGTTGGGGAATCAGCCAGCCTTACAGACCCCAGGACCTCAGCCCCCTGGTATCCCACAGGTGGCTGCTGCCATGGGCCAGGCACAGCCCGTGAGGCCGCCCAGTAAGTACTTCTATAGGAGGTGCTTCTGCATTTCAGCTGTAGCTCTGCACAGTTCGTGTCCTTGGGCTCTCAGGTTAATCTCAAGTTCATATTTTAAATTGTTTTATGCTGACCATTCTTCTGTTGTGTTACAGATGGGCCTATGTCCATGCCAACCGTGCCTATAAGTCGTATGCAGGTTTCTCAAGGTATCTATGTTTTCCTTTCTAATTGCAATTTGTGGGTTCAAAGTAGTTGTTAGAGGGAAAAGCTGATCTTCTGTTTTTCTTTAGGAGTTGGGGTGGGGGGAACTACTGGGTCTCCCTTTTCTCAGCATCATTCATTGTTGCTCTGCAGCAGGAACTGTCTCAGTGCAGTCTTGTCGTAAGAACTGGCAATATATACCCAATACTTTGCTAGCGGTTGGGAAATAATTCAGTCCTTTCAAAAAGACGAGAGCACAAGCAAGAATACTGTGGATAATCTCACTTAAAACACTGTGATGGTGGGGGGATGGGGAGGAGGAGGATCCTGGCATGTTTTCATCAGTTAATTAGCCAAAAATACACCTGTAGCTGGAAATCCTAGCACATTAATCCTAGAATCTATACAACTAATGATATCCTTTCTTTGTTTCTGCTGAAAGAGCTTCTAAAGAAGCCTTGTAGTTTGTTCGTAGTGCTGGTGGCTTGCCATCACTGATTTAGGCTGCTGTGGGCTCATGGGTGGTTTGGGTGGGGTTTTTTTCTGAAAAATAAAACCCTGTGACTTTTAGGTGCTTCAGCTTCCTCCAGAAAAAGTGTCTCCAATTATTTTATTTCTTGGCTTAGAGTTAGTAGTAAGTTGAAACTTGTGTTGAAATGTCCTTAAGAAGTTACATCCTTTTAAAATGCATTTCAGTAGGAGAAAAATTTGACAGCAAGTGTAGCTCCATAATTATTTATTTACACCTTTATTCTTGTTAAACAAGTTTGGGTTTTTTGGAGGGGTTAAATGTTTTCTATAAAAAGCACAATGCCTGTTGAAGAATATCACTTAGTCCCAGTTTGAGGCTAGGAGTTGCCTTCATATATACAACATGTATTTTTATCCTATTTACTTCAACCATTTCAGTGAGGCCTGAATAAGACATTGCTGTTTCAAAGCAAATGCCTGATTTTAAGAAACCATCCCAAGGTATCATTGACAAACAACTGGTATTCTTCTAAATACTTCTTGCACCCTGATTTGTCTCTTAAGCCAAGTAATTTGAACAAAGTTAAAAAGATAAAGTGTGTAGGGCAGTCAAACTTGAGTCATAATAAATGTTAATTTTATAGTAGAGTGTACATACATCAATTCTGATGACTTGTTCCTAATGAGTTGTTTTGGGGGTGCATTTGCAGGAATGAATCAGTTTAACCCCATGTCCATAGGGAATGTACAGATGCCACAAGCACCCATGGGACCCCGCGCAGCTTCTCCAATGAACCACCCTGTACAAATGAACAACATGGGCGCTGTTCCTGCGGTTCGTACTTCTTGTTACCAAGTTCTTCTCAAAATTGGTGGATTACGTTTAGTGGTGTCAATGCTGTTCTGAAAAGGCCATGTCATAGAGTATTACTGTAAATTGTAGGATAATTTAATGGAAATGTACCGAATCTGTCAGGCTTTTATTGAGGTGTTTGTTTTCAATATTGACATGGGTTTTTTGGGGGCCTGGAGGGGGTACACACCAAAACAACCAAACTTTAGAGAGGTAGATGCCAGAGATGCAATAATCTCCAACAGTCTGTGGAAGAGCATAGTTCTTTCAGAAACTGTGTCTTTGCAGTATATATACCTTCTTTATTCCTGCATGATAATATGTTTTTATTCTTTAGAAAAACAAAAATATTTTCAGTTTCACAGGACTTATCTCTATTAGCTCAGAGAACAAAATGCAGTTTTCAACACTCTTAGTAGAGTTTTGAATATTACCTGTTTAACTTCCTCATGAATACTATGGAACAAATGCTAAAGTTCTATGCATATGCCCATTCCATTTGGTTTACCAAAGCCAGTTTTCCTTTTATTTTTTTGTCTTATCTTTTGGTTGATTACATTGAGTATTTTCCTTTGTCTTGCTACATAATACTAAGTGGTAATGTCTTTAATTTGGGTGTTAATTTTTTAGATGGCAATGTCTCCTTCCCGAATGCCTCAGCCACAGAACATGATGGGAGCGCATTCCAACAACATGATGGGCCAGGCTCCTACCCAGAACCAATTCCTGCCCCAGAATCAGTTTCCAGCATCCAGTGGGGCTATGAATGTGAACAGTGTGGGCATGGGTCAGTCGACAGCCCAGGCTGGGGTGGCACAGGTAAGATGTATTTTCTAATACTTGGAGTTATTTACTCTTAAATGGTTTTGTTCTAAGTTATTCAATTTATGTATGGTTGCTTATTTATATATCCATCCATTGTTTATTGTAGTCATCCCTGACTTTGGGGGGTCCTGGGTTACATCTGCCTTCTTCGTGAGCTCTTATATAACCTACCTACATATGCTAACTGGGAGGCAAGGCCCTGTAATTCCTGATTTAAATTCTAAAAAAAATGCATGCTGGTGAGATTTTTTTAGGGGGAATATCAGAAGTTAGTTTATGGGACGTTTATGAGCGTATGCTTTTTGTCTTTGTGTGAACCTTAGTAGCTAACTTTAAATCAAGAATTACAATAAAGTGGTTGGGGAAGATCTTTTAAAGTTTGTTTTAACCTGTCTACTTCTGAAGAGAAAATTGGGGTTTTTTTCTGTAACATTTTTCTGTTACAGTAGTGGTCACTGAAGTAGCAACTGTGCTTATGATGCCAAAATATATGCTTTTCCACAGGGAGAGGCTTGGTTTTTAACTCAGTCCAAGTAATTTAGGTTAGTTGAGACCTCCAGAGATCTCTAGTCCAGTCCCATCCTCAAATGAGAGATCACTTAAATCGGGTTCCTTAGGGCTCTGCTGAGTCAAGTTTGGAATAATTTCGGGATGGGGCATCTACAATTTCTTGGGCCCTGTCTCAGTTGTTTCACCACCTCCATTGTGAACATTTTTTTCCTAATGCACTTAGTTAAATAAAACTGACCATGTACAGGCAATATAGAAGCATGTTTTAAATTTGAAACCTCATCTGCAGGAAGTAACTGATTTAGATTTCTAACAGTAAGAGGTACATCTGGGGATAGAGTATTCTTTTTTTTTATCGCTAGTTATCTGATGCAACCTGTAGAAAAATGTATTGTTTAAAAGTCTGTGCACATCCAGAATATTGTTGCTGCTCTGAAAAGCAAATACACAATTTTCTTAAGCATCTGGAGTAGTCTAATTAGAATTTAAAAAAAAAAAAAAAAGAAAACAAAACAGAAAAAACCTCTTACGTCTTGCACTGTGCAGTGGGGCAGGCATTAAATGTGTTCAACTTTCTTCTAAAGCAGGGCTGCTCTCGAGTCCTTGCCTAAAATGCATATTTGCTCGAAACCATTTTGTATGCAAAGTCTGACCTTTGCCCAGCTAATGGGCACGATTTAGAGATTGCCTGCCTGCGGGTTTCTGCGTTACTCAGACATTGTGAGGATTCCCTCTCTGTGCCAGTAGAATTAATGTAAAAGGACGTGCATGGCACATCTAGGTCTAGGAGTAAGGTCTTTGATTAAGAGCCGATGAAAACGATTAGAGAAATCAGAGCATAGTCATTTGCAGTAGCAGCATTTGTTTATAGCTCATCTCGTGTTTAGACTTACAGTACTCTGTTAAAGAAGACTTCAGTGCTGTGATTTAAAGGATAAGTGTGATTCCCAGAGTTTTGGGAGTCACATGTCTGTAAGAAAGTCTCTCCCTCTAGCAGGGGCAGGTTCCCAGTGCTGCTCTTCCCAACTCCATGAACATGCTAGGACCGCAGAGTGGGCAATTACCGTGTCCACCAGTGACCCAGCCACCTCTACATCAGACTACACCTCCTGTGTCCACTGCTGCTGGGATGCCACCTATTCAGCACCAAACACCAACTGGAATGACTCCTCCTCAGCCAGCAGCACCCACTCAGCCTTCGACACCAGTCTCATCTTCAGGACAAACTCCAACACCGACACCGGGTTCCGTTCCAAACGCAACACAGACGCAAAGCACACCTACGGGGCAGACTGCGGCACAGGCTCAAGTCACACCGCAACCTCAGACCCCAGTTCAACCCCAGTCTGTGCCAACCCCACAGCCACCTCAGCAACAGCCAACATCTGTGCAGGCACAGCCACCTGGCACTCCAGTAAGTACCAGCTAGTTGCATTTTTCTTGTGTAGTGGCATTCCACAAGAGTTCTCGCTATGTATAGCACCAAGTCGGGAATGCATAGAGCCCATAGTTGTCAATAGTAGCTTCTACTTTAGCCCAAAAGAGTTCATTAGAGATGTGTAAAAATGTATGTGTGTTCAGATGGTTCTCAGCATTGTTTGAAGGAGGGGGGTGTATTGAATGACTTCAAACTGCTCAGAGTAAAAATGGCAGCAGTGTGCAGAAAGATGAGGCATAACAGGCCTACTACTATATTTGACCTTAATCAGAATCAGTCTTTTTTGATCATGAAATTTGCATAAATTTTTTCTTTGAAGCTTCAGTCAGGATGGATGCACATGTCGAGGAATGTACAGTGTTTTACTGGGCAGGCGTTTTCTCTCTGAAAGAAGCCTCTTTGGGGCAGAATTCTTCCTTGGCTTCTCCTCTGTAAAGCAGAGTTATTAAATGTGTTATATCGAAACTTGGCTACAGTGAGCTCCTGTATCCATGTTCTGCACTGTTTTAGAATATCATCTCATGTCTTTTTTGTGCTGTTCATTTTTAGTAAAGGAAAATATTTCTATATATGCAGTGTCTTTCTTTTGTACTGTTTTTACAACAGCTATCCCAGGCAGCAGCTAGTATTGATAACAGGGTCCCCACCCCTGCCTCAGTTGCTAGTGCTGATACGAATTCCCAGCAACTAGGACCAGATGCACCAATGCTAGAAAGCAAATCAGAAGTTAAAACTGAAGAAACTGAGCCAGAGACTAGTGAGACACAAGTGGAAGCTAAGACTGAGGTAAATGAGATTCTATACAGCTTAACTGAAAGCAGTGATAGATATAAAAGCACTTAATGATTTGTCTGAATTGGTGAGCTAAGGGGCGAGAGGAGGGTAGTTACTGGAAAGTAACTGTCCTGAGGAAAGCCATGGATGGAGAGTGCTTTGACAATCTCAAACTAATATTTTGATGACTCAAGTTTGGGTCATAGATGTAATACTACATCTCGTTGCATCCTTTCTTAAGGTGGAGGAGGATTTACAAGGATCTTCACAAACGAAAGAAGAAACAGATGGAACAGAGCTGAAACAGGAGCCAATGGAAATAGAAGAAAAGAAGCCTGAAATAAAAGTAGATGCTAAAGAGGAAGAGGAGAGCAGCACTAACGGAACCACTTCGCAATCCACATCGCCATCTCAGCCCCGCAAAAAAAGTAGGTGTATGAAAACTGAGTTTTTCTTTTGTACTTTATTTTTCTAGCATTTGGTTTCCACGGTCACAGTTCCTGCTGGGAGGTCTGTTTTGCACACGAATGCCAGCACATGGAGCTCTAAGAGATCCATACTTTGTGCAATTTATTTTTGAAAGTAGCGTTGCTTTGATGTTATATGAATGACAGGTGAGAAAAGCATGTTGTTGTGGTCTTGATCGCAGCAAGTCTTCTCACAGCTTCCAGTTTCTGCCCAGAAGGATCAAGGCAGTAAAGCAGTGATTGCTGGAGAAATTACAGACATAAATCTCTCCCTGTACATCTTAGCCAGTGCTCTTTCAGGGGAGCATAGTGTAGATATAATGCTCTCAGTAACTGTGAATATCCATTGCTTTGCTTTTCCGTTAGAGGACTGCACTTCTGGGAGAATCAGGTGCTTGAACTCTTCTCCTGAATCTGTATTCCTCCAAGGCTGGTCTGCTGCAATAGCCTTAAACTTTGAAGTCCTGTGTAGTTTTTAGAGTAGTGTTCATCTGAAAGCTTTAGGTCAGTAGTCTCTTAAATTAATCTACAGTGTTAGCATAGATTGAGGTGTGACTGTATCTGTATACTGTATATTTTTCCAAAAGAAAACTTGATGGCATTACAGATCTTGAATGGATGTACATAAATGAATGCATGCCTTGGGTTAGTAACAAATAATTGATTAAGATTCATAAAGAAAACAGGCAAGAAGAAATTACCCCATTTGTAGTGCAAGCTTTGTGGGAGCCTGCAAGATAGGTTTTTGGACTCAAAAAACCTGAGGTGTTTAGAAACTTCTGTCTCTTAGCATCCCGTTTTTTGAAATGATGTTTTCTGTGGTTAGGTTTTAGGTTTTGACCAAAGGTAAGCTTTCAACATGCTGCATATGTCAAAGAAGGGAAAGTGATGATCCATTTCATTACTTTTTTCTTTCTCCCTTGCAAAGGAAACTGCTATAACTACGCTAAGAGAACATTATGGGTGCATGCTTTTCAGAATGTGATCAAGAAATCATAAAGTTTTAAAGTTTATGCAGCTTGAATCTTGATCTCTTGTATATGCCTTGGGTTGCATTTAATTACTAAACATAATCTTTTTATAATGAAACGCTACGAACCACATTTTCATGTAGATTGTATTCTCAGTTTGTAGCATGGTGGGCCAGCCAAATGAGAGTGTGCTGCAGAACTAACGGGCAGAGCCTATTTCGAACAAAATGTAACAGAGGGAGCGGAAAGCGTATTAGTATTTATAAACCAGTTATATTCACAGTGGAAAGAATCATTGCTGCTTGTTAGGAGGAGTGCGCTTGCAAGTAAATCGAGGTGAGCGGTTGAAAGAGGAAGGTTCTTGCAGAATTAGTCCATGGAAGAGCTGTGCTGTCGTTCTGCTGATTCAGTCTGGCTTACTACCTATTGCCAATACCTCATTTAGTAACACAATTTATCTTAGAAATATTGTCACTAAGTAACCGTATAGTATAATGTGTGGGCAGGTACAACAGCATATACAATTTTAAATGGTGACATTTTCTCACCAAGTAGTTTGACTTTAATAGAGCGTTTGTATTAAAACGCTAAATAAACCAAGAGGTATTTGAGAGCAAATAGTGTGAAGTGTGCTTAAGAGTTATAGGATATTTTAAAACTACTGATGTGACTCATCTGGACTTTTTCATGGGTTACAAAAGTATTGGAAACTCTTCTTCCTTCCCATGCGGCTAGATTCCTGAGGTGCACGCCACAGTAACCTGGGACATAGCAGATAACGTGCTGTCACTGCTAAGGGGAAGGCTCGCAGGTGGAAGTGTATGTTATAGCTATAGCTATAGTTATGCTATAGTATAACTTAGCAAGTTGTGGCCTGATACCTTAATCTTTGAAAAGATTCCTCTGGGCCCTAAAGGAGTGAGGGTTTTGGGTACAAGTGGCTTCTGTTGTGGAGTTGGAATCTCACCTGTACCACCCATCCAGGTGTACTGAACACCATCGGCCTGGCTGTGCTCACCTCATATAACTAGACTGTAACCTGGCTTAAGTGATGGGAAATACTGCACGGGCCAGAGAACAGACCAGGACAAAACTGCTGAGATATTGGTCTGCTCTGTTCACTCACACCTAAATTTTTTGTAGTTTAGATTTTTGGAGAATTGCAGATGCAAGCTTTTTTTTCCTCATCAAGGTTTTGCATTCGTAAGTGGGGGCAACCAAACCCTTCCAAATTCAGGGTTTGGTTCTGTTTTGCCTTTTTTTTTTTTTTTCTGCCAATCTAACATAAGCAAGAAAGGAAGGGGTTTGGTTCCTTGCCTCTACCCTTGAGGTCTTCTCAAAAGAAACAGTATAACACTCCTTTGGGTAACTCCTGTCTCCTTATTGTAGATGGCTGCCTTAGATTGACCTTCAAGATTAGTTTTACTGATTTCTGCCCTTCCTTAGAAGACAGAATTATGTAAAACCTGCAAGGGCTTGGTTTTGGGGGGGTATTCAGGTGCATGGTCCTTATTGTTTTGAAGATGTCTTCATCTTCCTTTACAAATTTTCTCCTTAGTAATCATAAGCAGGACTTCCTCTGTTTGAAAGAAATAAAAATTTAAAAAGGTAGCATTATATTCTTCTCTGGCAGATAATAATACGTCATCGTGATTCAGGCAAAGATCCCATTTTCTTTTTACCACCCACACATCCAAGACAAAATGGGATAACTGGATGCCAGCTCCTTAAGAAGATCATCTAGCTACTGGAGGAGAACCGAGAGCATTTAATTGAGGAAAAGTGAGAGAGGGGAGAACAGGAACCTTCCTGTAAAATCTGTGTATAGGGAGATCCTGTGATCGAGTGTTCTGTTATTAGTGACGCTCCTTGGAAGCAGAGCAGCTTTTTTTACTGCTAAAGATGAAGGCAACTTTTCTTCATGTTTTTAGGTGAAGTCATAAATTTAAATAACAACTGGATTTTGATTTTAATTTTTTCAGACTTTAAAATGAAAGTAGGTTGTAAACTTTATCAGCAAAGGTAATTAAGCTTTAAGGAACTTGGCAAAAGTTGTGCTCGATCTTTGTAGTTTGGGTTTAAATTAAGACTGGATTTATTCTGGAAGATACTCTAGCTTAGT